TGAGAATGGAAGGCATCTGTTCATTGAGTTTACAAGATAACATCTGGTGCGGAGGGTGCCAAACAGCCAGCTATTCTGCAAACTGAGTGCCAGAAAGAAAAGTCTGTGCTGCAAAGACAATGGTGCAATGCCTGGACAGAATTCAGAAGATATTTGCTTCAAGGGGATCTCAGCCGTGGTGTTAGTGGGCAGGAGAAACACTCCCCTCACATCTCTATACAAACAGGGTTTGTCACCTGCTGCTCTCTGGGCTCTTCTTGTAGATATTAAGAGAGTGGTTGAGACAGGACTGCACTGATTGTCTGATGCCTTCAAGTGACTGCCACATCTACCCCACTGCTGGGGGTATCAATGGGAGAACTTGTCTGCTTACACCCTGCTTGCATGAGAGGTGGCTCTAGCTCAGTGAAGCTGGGGAAACTTAGTCTTTGTGTCTGCTCTGCTCCCCTCTCAATTCACCACAGGGTGTGCTCTATCTAGCAGCTCTAAAGGATCTAAGTGTGTCCTGTCTGAGCAGTTCTGCAGCAACAAAGCAGCATGCATAATTTACAGATATTTATTTTATGAGAAAAGAACTCATGTAGCCAACTAACAAATCCATGTGATCTGCTGATGAGCAGTTTTCATCTAGGTATGAGTATATCATGGAAAGAAAACCACTCAAGAACTGAAGCAAGAGTAAATCAAGAAGCAATTAGATGCAATCAAACAAGGAACGGGTTAAAAGTCTACAGAAATGGAAACAGTGTAAATGCAGTTCCTCCAGATGGGACAGTGTGGACCTGCTTTAAGCCTAATCATGGCCCCATTAATACTACTATAAACTTCAATTTAATCTATTTTATCTGTCTTCAGATTATTTGAAATAATCTTTTTTACTTAAAATTTTTCCTCTCTCCTGCCATGTAATTTATCTTTCTTTACCTAGTTAAGCTATTCAGAAAAAGACATCTTTTTGTTTCTTTTAATGATCTAAAGCAGAATTCTTGAGTTTATACTGCTTATTCTTCAAGCACTCTTTTCTGGCCCGGAGAGGTTTTATGTAATTCATGTTGCCACAGTGTTGGAAAATATTATTGGGAAAGAGACATTTTAGTCATATTAGAGCATTAAAAAATGCTTTCACACTGCATCTTTGAAAAAAAAATAATGTATTTCTAACAAAGCTGCATGGAATCTCAGCTGGAGGTGACTGTATAGCAGTGTGTACCTCATGTTAGATCTAAATTTATCCAACTGCAGTCAACCAAAAGCAGATGCAGCGTTAGTTGTATAAACTGAATATAAAGGCAGTCACTTTGCCGAGACAAGCTTTAACAAAACACTTCTTTCCTATTCAATTTTCAGATTATTATGTTGCTCTAAGGGACTGATGACAAGCGATCATACTGTTTTGATGAGGGCTCCTGATTGACATTGGATTTTATTAGTGGCATTAATATTGAAGGGAAGGGTCACAGGCTGGTTACGGTTCATCCTACCTGCCTGTCTCCCTCAGCAACCAGGAAATGTCCAGTAATTTTCTGGTTTTATGCTTCTTTTAACATTTTAATATTTCATATGGGTAAAGTGCAAGTTAATCATGTTTATGCATTAATAAAAGGTACATAAAGCGTTTCAGTTAGTCAGTTGAATGAAATGATTTCAGAGATGTGGTAATAACCTTAAGTGATGTTTTGAATACACTTCATATAAATTAGATCCATTGGATGGGACAAAAGTGATGTATTCTAGGCATCCAGTAATTGTCATGTTCACTAATTCCCACAGCCGCTCTGAGCAGATGCTGGTAGCTTTCCTTCATCATCCAAAGTTTTTCCGTGTTGTATGCATGAATTGTATCCTTGTGTTGTAAGTAGCCCACCCACTCCAATTTTCCCATCCCAGTCAAGAGCTCCATAGACTAAAAAAATATAATTCCAAAGCCTCAAGGAACATTCAACTCCTTTCAGAGGATGATGGTTTAATTTCCTGCATGGATTTCTGACCATCAGGTGCACAGAAATGACAGGTATCTTCTCCCATTACTGTTCCTACTTGCTCTGCCTCTGTGCAGAGTGGTTTTCAGGCTTATGGGTGGTTGCAGGGATAAATCTGAACAAAGTAATTCTTTCAGCCCTTTTGGCATGCTTCTAATGGTAGAAAAGAGGAAAGAATGTATTACCCTGTCTTCTGTCATCCACATCAGAACAACTCATGTTGAATGTTGGATCACGCACTCAGGCACTGCATCCATAAATGAAACAGGCAAAAGAAGGACTAAAGGGAAGGGGCTAGCTCAGAGGAAAAGCCATTTAATTCTGTTGTGGATTTTGAACTGTGTTTTTGTGGAAAATTAAGAGCATAATCATTCCGAATAATGTAAACTAATCTTTATCTGTCATAGCAGTCTTCTTCCCCCAAATTAGTGCTAAACCCCATCTATAGTAACTAATGCTATCATCTCTCATAAATATTTGGACTCTTGTTCTTCCTCAATAAATGATGATTGCATTAAGTAAATATTTAGCAATTAGATAGCATATCTATTTTGGCTTTCTTCTCCACTTGTGTCTTTGAGCATGCCACAAAAAGACTCAAAGCTCTTTTTGGCTCTCCCATGCTTTCCACTTCTTCTCTGTAAATATGCAGTTGAAATTTCCTGTTGTATATTTCTAAACTCAGCAGTGAAAAGGCAGTTTAAAAGCCAGGCTATGCAGCTTAGAAAGGATAAAGGAAATGAGGAATAAAACCAGTCTATAGCTCCAGTAAAAATGTGGTTACACAGCGGAACAGGATAGTTGCACTTTGCAAGTCAGATTTTCTGCACTTCTCCTAGCAGCAGACCTACAGGAAAAGAGAAATAAAAATCTAATATGATCCTAATATGTTGGAATTTTAGATGGTCATTAATGACTGCAAGGTCTGTTTCGAGAGGTGAGAAATGCTTTGGCTTTTGTCGTTTATGTTCTTTGCAGAACTCCTTGCACAGCTGAAGATGCCAATAAAAGCATTCTGTTTGTCATGTACATCTTTAGTGTGTCCAGTATTGCAGGCAGAAAAACCTCCATGTTTCTGCATTTTTAAAGCTTCAGGCACAGGGTGAATAAATATGTAATTGAAAGCATAGTACAAAAGATCACAAATTTTGGTTTAAATGTCAAAAATTTATATTCCCTTTGTCATCTGAAAGCTTTTGTACATAGTCATTGTTTTATTTAAATCTGGACTAGCAGCAGCTCAACCTATTTTAGCGTCTACTCTCAACAATATATCTTGTTCTCCAAAAGGTGTTTTCTCTCTCCAGTGAGAACCCTTTTTGTTCCTAAACAAAGCCCTGAAAAGGTCACATTGGAAATCTGAGTTCCAGGTAATTCAAATGTAAGCCTAAGCTAAAAAATGATGTATCTGCAGCTTGCCAAGTGCTATTAGAATCTACAGTGTTAGTTTAGATTCAAGTCGAATAGAGCAGTATCCATTGGGAAATTATGCTTTCCTGAGAAGCATGTATGGATTTTTTTCTTTCTGTATACCTTTCCAATAAATATTATGATACCAAGATTCTGTTTCCCATGAATTCTTTATTTAGGTTAAGTATTATGTGTGAACTCTGATTTCATGGTTTAGTTCTGATCAAAGTAGCTGATTTTTTTATTATTATTTATTTATCTGGTAGAGAATTGTATTAAAACACTCAACAAACTCACATGACAGCCCAAATAAAGGTGATTTGTAGTAACCCAAGTCCAGTTATATAGTAAGGAATAGAAATGAAAATACTTGAAACTGCAAGAGAGGAAGGATTTTGGTTTTACCATTCAGATCCACAGTTGAGAACTGGTGGTATGAAAGTGAAGTTCATAGCTTGAGATAAGAAAAGTTTACTGAAGACAGCAGTAAGATAAGAAAATGAACAGTAATGTTCATTAAGAAAAGAGGAGTGAATATGTGCAAAATGCTCCTGCAGACCCGGAGTGACAATGAACTAAGGTGAATGGCTTCCTCCACTTGCCACATTTCCTCCACTGAAACCCCTGCTCCTTTTCTGGGAAGCCAGACAATCCCTTACTCCCACCCTGGCAGTGATGTGAAATGGTACAGAATAATCTCCTGGCCCTGCCCCCTCAGCCACACCCCTCTCTCTTTTTTTGTAAGATTAAACTTCATGTTCCTTGTTCTGTTTCTGAAGTCTGGTGCATGCCTATTCATTCCTAAGAGACTTTGATCAGCATAGCTCTGTCTACTTCTGTGGGATGCATAACTTCTCATAGGCTGTGGTTCATCCTGGTCTTTGCAAGCTGATTGCCCATTCTTCAGTCTGACAGTTTCCGGAGTAGAAGCTAATACAGGACTGAAAATCACATCCATATAAGGGCAGCTGACATCAGCTGTGAGTTTGGGAGGTTTGGAGTTTTGGTCCAGACAGACTTTGAGTGCAGTATCAGTTATAGAAGGGCTTCTTATGCCTAGTGATATCCATATAAACATGCTAGCATTCAGAGATGAATGAAATTCTTCTTGTGTATTTTTCACTCAAAACAAAATATAAACATGGAAGTGTTAAAACTAGTAGACAGAATGGAATGGAGAATGCTGTTGCTAAGCATCACTTAAAAGGCCATTCTTCTCTGAAAAATGTTGGTAAATACATTGCTATTTGACTCAGGAGATCTAATCCCAGAGTGTATTCAGAATGCTATCTTCAAATGCTAACAATAAAAATAAAGGTTTCCCCCCCCGCCCCTTATATTTTACTTATGTTAGCACAGCAGTCAACATCTCTGACCATGAGCTCTCTATTTCGTTTCACCTGTCAATAGAGTGGTTCTGAATGTTCTGCTTACAAATCCCAAATCATCATCACCTGTGTTGTGTGCCAATGCAGTGGCCATTGCACAACCAAGGCAGGGTGAAGGACAAGGCTGGAAAGGAAGGGACTCACACAGTTGCTGTTCACTGTTAGAACCTCCAGAAATTTTTAAGCCAATCTAGAAAATGCCAATTTTATGAACTGAAAATATTTCACCTATAGGACATGGAGTTTGAGCATCATTAGGAGTGGTGCTCCTCAGTCCAGCTGGGAACATCAGTTCTGTCAGAAGCTGGGGCTGTAGTGCCGTGATCTGCAGCAGGATTTCCACATTTCCTGGACAAGTGGAGAATCAAGGAACTCAGATACGTGTCATTCTTTTTGACTCCGTTACAGAGACCTGGAGGCCAAGTAGAACCCACCTTGTTCCAAAGCTCTCCTGATAAGACTAGACTGAATCACATATCTTCCAGGCAACTGAAGATTTCTAGGTGCAGGCAAGGATGATGATTCCATTTTCAAGATGCAGCTGCACAAATTTCTGAATTGCCCAGGGATGTTGTCCTAATCAAAACATGGTACATGCTACCACTAATACCAGAAGCATGAAAAGTTTTTAACCCAGCTTGCATTAATGGGGATGAATAAAGGCTTCTTCAACAGGAAGAACGATCAATAGAAAAAGTAAAGAGAATTCTGAACTGAAGCCAGTTGGCAGGAAAAAACCAATTGCATTGTAATCTTCAAATAAAGATATTGAACCACACTTAATGACGAAATATGATTTTATTAATTGGGACTCCCTGTCAAAATCCATTGAAAAACTGCCTGGGTACTGAGAGAAAAGTTCATCTCCCTTGCTGCTAAGGTCACTTTGTAGCTGGAGCATCCCTGTGGGCATCCTGGAACACAGCAGCACAGCCCCAGGCTTGAGCAACATCCATTGCAATGCACAGATGCTCTCAGCTTTACTTCTCTGAAACCCGTGAAGAATTGCACAACTGTCAATTTTTGGCCTTCCAGATTGTTCAGTGATATGCAAATGAGTGGCTGAAACACATCTCACTCATCTCAGGGCAGCCTTCAGGTTTTTGGGGATGTATATATACCTGCTCTCTTGAAGAAACATTATACCCCAGAACTATAAAAAAAAATCTCACTGTCATTTTTACAGGGCAGCAGACCTAATGTCATCCATCCCCTATGGCTTCCAAGCATTGGATTTGACTGCTCATCTAAATACAAAGATGAGCTCTGCCATCTTATATTTATCTCTTCCCCAACCTGTGTTGCCCTTTCACTCTGAATGTCAAATCTTTCTTGAAAATACATCTGTCCTTATGGTGTGCTTCTTGTTCTAAGCTTTCCTGGCACCTTGAAATTTTCAGCATGCCCCCAACCTCTCTTAACAAATGGGTAAATTTGGCAACTGAAGAAAGTAACAAAAAGTGGCTTTTTTCATGATTCAAAATATGCTGTTAGCTGGCTGGTACAACCCCAGAACCAAGGAGGAAGTTTGATACGGTTTAAGCCTGCTTGACTAGTTTCTCTCAGAAATGAGCCTGGTGGTAACAAATCCATTGATGTAGTAAAGTTATTCTATTTACCTGTTAGTAGGTTACTGTATCAGAGAGAGAAGTGAAGTGGGGCCCAACTGCATCACTGACATACAGTAATTTCATGATTATAAGCCGCACCTGATTATAAGCTGCACTTCCAGGTGTTGGCAACTTTTCGTACTTTGTCCATATATAAGTTGCACCTGGTTATAAGCCCCAAGTTACAATATAGAGTGTGATAAAAGGTATCTATTCTATCACCATCTCTTGAGGGTGGGGGCAATAATCCTTATCTCCACGGGAGATATTCTGCTAATAGGCCATCCACTGAAACAAGGCAGGACATTGTTCTTTATATTTTTCACAACCCATCCTTCCTCCAGAGAGTCATTTTCTGCTAATGGCCCATTGAGTCCCACTGTGTGACTGATAAAATTACTGCATCCCATTGGAAGTTGCTCCAGCCAGGGGGAAGAGCCCAACATTTCTTACCAAGATAAAAACAGAGGTTTTGGGATGCTAAAGTAGCCCCTTTCTCCACTGGACTCCAGAGGAAAACTGGATCTCTCCACATCACTACTGGAGCTTTAGAGGGAAACTGCACCTTGTACAGGAGCACTGCTTCAATCACATCTGTCACTGCAAGGGGACTGCAGCCATCATTTAATGGGACTGCTACCAACACCCTGCCTGACGGGGTGTCAGGTTGTACT